GGGGGGGGGGGGGGGGGGGGGGGGGGCTGGGCTGAGGCTGTACCGAGAAGGGCAGGCAGAGTCTAGGCCCGGTGCTGTAATGCTCCCCGCTCAGGCATTGCAGCCAGCAGGAGCAGTTGTGTGTGGGGCTGGACCTGTTGTGGCAGAGCCCCTCCCTGCACACTGGGTCTGAGTGAAGATCTACGAGACAGCAGTAGGGAGCGGCCTGACGGGGTTGCGCAACACTGGCGCTTGTAGCAGACTTCCCTGCCGTGCTGCCGGTGACCCCGCCAGCGGGTGGTGAGGGCCTGGGTCGTGAGGGAGCACGGCCCTCTGCAGACCCTGGCTGGTGGGAGCCGGCCTCACACGGCGTGTACAGGCAGCTTGAACTGGGCTGACGTGGAAGGCCCAAGCCCTGCTGGCTCCCCCTGCGGCAGGCAGGGCATGGGCTCCCCATGCGGACTGGACGGTCGACTACCCTACATCCCTGCAACACATTTTTTTTTTCTCTGCACTTAATTTTTCTCCTGCATTATAGTCTCCATGTAATCTCCATGATTTCATTTGCGGGGCATGGCCCCAACCCCCAGCTCCTCATCGTCTCCATTTTTAATTTCCCTTGCATGCGTTAAACGCCATTGTTTTTTCTGTCCTCCCTTCCATCTCCATGTTCTTCACAGTCGATCAAAACGAAACGTAAAAAGAGTTTCCGCCTCTCACGAAAGTTCCCATTTTACAAGAGCAAAGAGAACCTGGCCCAGGAGAGCAGCGGACAGGAACGTAAGTAGCAGCCAGCCAGACAGGAGCAGCCAGCCGCACTCCCCCGATGCCCGGGGCCTGCTCACAGCAGACACGGCGCGCGGCTTCGGCCTGCAGTCCCCTGTGCCAGGCTGAGCCCAGCCATGAGGCAGCACCCACCTGGGCTTTCTTGCGCACGGGACCTGTCTGAGACTGCTTCCCTGCCTCTGGCTGCACCTCCCCCAGTCCTGTGGGCTTCCTGCCACGTGCAAGCAGCTCCTTGAGCACAGGAGAGCCCAGGCTGGAGCATTGCCCGTTGTTCTCGGGAACCCTGCCCTCTCCTCCACAGTCGGGCAGGCCCTGGGAGGGCAGTGCGCAGGGCAGGCTTGGCCTGCTGCCACCAAGGATGATGTTAGGGATAGGTTGGAAACCCAAGCGTTCAGGGCAAGGAGAAGCCCCTTGAAGCTCAGCCAGTGTCCTCCTCACCACTCCTCTCTGCCTCCCTCATCCCTCCACTGCTGCTAACCTCCCCGCCGCAGAGTGGGTTGCCCCAGCCGTGTCTGTCCAGCCCCAGCTCTCGTGTGTGGCATCTTCATCCTTTCACTGCTATCAGCCCTTGCCTCCATTCTGCTCTGCTTTCCTCTGCTCCTCCCTGACGTGCCCTGGGCTCTGTCTTCCTCCGCTGCCCCAGGCTGCCTCCTTTGCAGAACATGGAGCAGGGCGTGCGGGTGCCCCAGGGAGCCCGGCTGCATGTCCCTGCCACCTCGCTCTGAGCAGCCCCCTGCCACAGCACATCTTGGGGCTCCTTGGCTCGGGTGCATGACCCTGGATCCAGGCAGGGGGAAGGTCCCGCTGCTAGCAGCATCATCGGGCTCCGGGTTGGAGGGGTTTGTGCTAGGCTGAGAGGGCAGCTGCTCTTCCCCCTCCCGCTCACTCTGTGGCACAGGAGCTGGGCCATGAGCTGCTCGAGGTCCCAGCAGCTAAGGGGCTGAGCCGTGCTCCGGAGATGGAGCCTCCCGAGAGCCATGGAGGGGGTGCCCAGGCTGGGCTGGGCTCCAAGGAGCCTGACCAGACCACAGGGGCCTGTGAATGCTGTGGGTGCCAGCCTACGCTCATGGACAGACAGGTGCCCCGGTCGTGGAATGAGCTCAGTAGCTACCATGCCGGCTGGTGTCTGATGCTGGGCAATTGCAGCGCTCCCAGGTCTGGCATCAGGGCTACGAACCATAGAGATGCCTCTGAGCAGAGCAGCTGTTGCCGGCTCCTGGCAGACCCCTGTGTGGGGCTGCTTGCAGTGCCGTAGTGAGGGCACGGACCCCAGTTTCCAGGCTCCGTCTCGGGCCGTAACCAGTGGGCTGCAGACCCAGTGTCATCCTGCCAAGGATGTGCACTGCCTGTGTGCCAGCACGGCCAGCTGGTGCTGAGCTCCGCATCTGGCTGTGGCCGCAGCCTGTGGGAGCGTTTGCTGCAGGAGCCAAGGGGATGGGCCTTCTGCCTTCCCGTGGCAAGGGGGAGCAACAGGAGGGGCAGCTGCTGAACCAGGGCACTGCACACCTGGGGTTTGCTCGCTGCCCAGTCTGGGCTGCCAGAGGCTTGTGGAGAGACCTGCCCCATGCATGATGCTCTCGCCAGCATGCGGCACTGAGCCAGGAGCAGGGTCTGGGTTGCCGTCTTGCTGCCTGTGTGGGGCTGGGGAGGGGGCCATGTGGGGTGGGAGAGCTTTCCTCGCAGGCCTTACGTGGAGTTCAGGGCCGGGGCAGGCCCCACACGGGTGCAGCGGTCCGGTGCTCCTGCTCCAGGCCGAGGACTTGGGCTGTGGCCCGCGGGGAGGCCCCAGGGCTGCCGTGGCCAAGAGAGGGCACTTGTGGGGCTGGACACCTGTGGACAGGGGTTTGTCACTTCACTTGCAGCTACGGCTCTCGACTGCCCTGTCACTAATGCTCACCTGGCTCTGTCTTCTTCCTCTCCCTGTCTCTGCCTCCCTTGCCTCCCTCTCTCTGTTTCTCTTCCCCCCTTCTTGCTGTCTGTGAAATCAGGACTTCCCTGGGTTAAGTGACGATTATTATGGAGCAAAGAACCTGAGTAAGTCCCCTTTGCGTGCGCATGGCCTGTCACGGTCCCCGTCCGGCCCTGTCCCAGGGAGGTAGGGCTCCCAACTTCGCTCCGGCTCCGAGGCTTCTCAGCCTGGGGCGTCAGGGGAGGGGGAACGGCCCTCCGCCTGCTCAGCAGGAGAGCAGGAATCCCCTTGCCATAGGCCGGGTCCTCACCAGGCCCTTTCCCCTTCAGGGCTCCAGGCTGAGCCTCACTGGCCCCTCAGGCTCAGAGCTGGCGTGGACCTGGCTGGCTGTGCTGGCCCAAAGGCCTCCCCATGCTGCCCATATCATGGCAGGTGCTGCCCTGTGATCGAGGCCGGCCCCCCCGAGCTATGGCTCCCAGGGCTTGGCTGTGACACTTTGACACCAGCCGGGCGGAGGTGTGCAGCCCTGCGCTGTGGGACCTCTGCAAAGCGCGTGTAGCGAGGCTGCTGGCTGGCGAGGCTTGCGCGGCCTCCGGACTGCAGCTCCCAGGTGCCGAGGGGCCACGTGCCCAGGCTCCGTGCACATCTCTCTGGGCACTGCAGGCAGCGGCCAACTTGATACAGCCGTTCCTGCGCACCCCAAGACCTTGGGAGCAGGCCGCAGGGGGAACAGCCCCATGGGGAGCAGGGCACCGTGGTGCTGGAAATAGTGTAAAGGAGCCATGCTCTGAACTCTGCCCCATCCTGTCGGTGTCTCCGTCAGTCTCCCCTGTCCATTACGTCTGCCCTCAGCCAGGTCACACTGCCCTCACCCCAGCCTCCCACACAGTGCCCTGTGCAGCTCCAGGCCCCGGGGCGAATCCCTCGCGGGGCCACAGACACAGCCACTGCTGGCATCCTGTTCCCAGTGCAGATATTCTGTCCCTGGCACGGCACCGGCAGAGGCTGCCCGCAGGCAGGGGTGGAGCCTGGAGCTGAGCTCTCCCTCGTCCCATGTCCTGTCCCCCGGTCTCCCCGCAGGTTCTGCCTGGGCAAGCGCCCCTGCCATGCTCCTTGCTAGGGATAGACAAGCAGGGGCTGCCCCAGGGCTGCAGAGGCAGGGAGCCTGCCCCAGCCCCGTGAAGCAGGGCATGCACAAGCCTTGTCCTGCGCGGGCCCAGCATGCTGCGGGAGGTCTGTGCAGCGCCCATGTCCTGCAGCCACGAGCCCTCAGTGATGGTCTGTCCCCTCCTGGCCACCTCCCGGGGAGCTCCTGGCCATGCTGGTTCTGACCTGGGTCTCTTGTTGGTTTGCAGAGGGTGTGACGTCCAACACCAGTGACAGTGAGAGCAGCTCCAGTAAGTGTCCATCTTCTCCATACCGACTGTTTCTCTCCCTCATGTCCCGGTGGTGTCTCCTCCTCAGAGTTCAATGCCTCTGGGGCTGACAAGGCTGGGCAGTGCTGTGGCCAGCTCCCTCCGGCACGTGCTGTCTGCCAGCCCTGGCCCAAAGGCCCTCAGCAGGTGCTGTGACCTGGTTTCCCCCTGGCTCGTCCCCAGCAGCAGGACCCCACCCAGGGCTCTGACTGCCAGAGCTGCGCTGGCTTCTCCTGACCTCAGGCAGCTCCTGCCAGGTCTCGGCATGCATGCATGCTGCAGAAAGGAGTCGTGACTCTTGCGAATCCTTGACTGCCCCCAGAGCAGAGGCCTCAGCTGTGGCCTGGGGCTGCTGTGCCAGCAGCATTTGGGCACCTGATGGTTGCATCCCACTGATGTCCCTGGTCTGACTGCATCCTGGGTGGACACAAGCGCGCAGGCTGGGGCTGGACGGGAGAGCATGGAACCCGCAGCACTCCTTGCACCATTGGAGGCTGCAGGTGCCAGGCAAGGCAGTGCCCACTCTGGAGTGTGCATGTGATGGGCAGGAGCAGAGCTAGCTGGCTGTCCACGTGGGCAGCACATGGCTGGCTGTGGGAGAGCCCTGACAGGTGCATGGGGGTGCAAGTAGCTCATGGGCCGGCCGCGGTGATGCAGCCTGCGGGGCAGCCCTTTAGGGGGTGGGGTGCTGCTTTAGGCTGGGACGCAGCCTCTGGCTCTACTGTGCCCAGGCTCTGCCAGCCGGGAGGGGCAGCCTCGACTACTCGCAGCGCTGGGGTGTCTGGTAGCCCAGGCTGGAGCGGTGGAGGGGCCGGCGCTCACCTGCTTCCCCCGGTCTGTTGCAGAAGGACAAGAGGACACGATTCTGTCATACGAACCAGTGACGCGGCAAGAAAGTAAGTGCAGGAGGCAGTGTTGTCATGCTATGTCCATGGCACCTCCCCCCCAGATCCTGCACTCCCCATGCGAGCTGGAGCCTGCCAGGCTGCTGCTCCCTGCCCAGCACAGCCAGTGCCCACCAAAAGCCGGCGTGCCTGGCTGCCTGCTCCCACACAGGCTGCTGGCGGGGAAGGAGGCCCTGCCAAAGCTGCCGGTGGTTCCTGCCCCCCTTGGTTGTGGCTGAGGCTTGTCCCCAGCCTGTGAAACGAGGGCTGAAGCTGTAACCCCAGGCCTGTGGCACCTTCACCTGCCTGGCCCCCACACACTGCCCCCAGCTTCCTCCTGCACCAAGCTGCTTCCCTGGCCTCAGTCTGCCCATCTGCCCCAGTCTCCAGTCCTTGCCCCTGCGTGCCCATGCCCGACAGGTCCCTGGATGGGACTGCAACTTCCTTCCTGGCCAAGCACTGTTGCATTGCTAGTGCTTGGTTGAAAGGACATTCCAGGTGGTTTCCCCAAGCTCCCAGCTGGTTCCTCCTCTAGCTGCAGCATGTCACAGCCTCAGAGCCACAGCCCGGGAAGGGTCATTGCCCCCATGAGCCCTGGTGCGACATGCATGGATGCTGCAGCCAGGAGACCAGGCCCCAGCCCTTGGCCAGGGCTATGGCTTTGGCAGCGTGTGGGGAGGGGCACCACCTCCAAACCTGGGTGGCTCGCACCCATGAGTGTCCTGCAGCCCCTCATGCTCGTGTCAGTGGCATGTGCCCCAAACCCAGAAGCCGCAGCCTGGCCCCTTGCACGTCCAGGCATCGCCACGGGCAGCTCCTGGGTCCAGCAGCAGGGCTCAGGGTGTGGGTTTTGCTCCCAGTTCATTACGCACGGCCGGTGATCATCCTGGGGCCGACAAAGGACCGGATCAACGATGACCTCATCTCTGAGTTCCCACACAAGTTTGGCTCCTGCGTGCCGCGTGAGTCGGGGGTCTTCCTTGTGGGGTGGGAGGGACATTTGGAGGGGGCCTGCCCGTGGCCCCAGCAGCCAGGTGGTGGTGGTGATGAAGCCTGCCCTCTCTTCCAGACACCACCAGGCCACGGCGCGAGAACGAGGTGGACGGGCAGGACTATCACTTCGTCGTGTCCCGGGAGCAGATGGAGAAGGACATTCAGGACAACAAGTTCATCGAAGCTGGGCAGTTCAACGACAACCTCTACGGGACCAGCATCCAGTCGGTGCGGGCCGTGGCAGAGAGAGTGAGTGAGACGCCCTCTGGCAGGACAGCCCCACGCTCCCTTCTCTGCAGCAGTCCCTGCTGCATGGGGAGACCAGCCCACCTGCTGGCCATGTGGCTAAAGCAGAGCCCTGTGGCTGCTCAGTGCCTGCCTGCGGCTCCCTCCACGGGCACGAGGCCAGCTGCCAAGCCACTGGGCCTCTCGAGCCACCGTCAGCAGCCTCAGCCCAGTCTTCCCTGGGCAGTGGGGCACAGCTGCTTGGCCAGTGAAGATGGGAACAGACGTTCCGTGTGCCCAGAGCACGGCAGAGCCTGGGTAGTGGAGATGGCTGCAGTCCCTTGCCTCAGGCACTGCCACGGTACCCCATTGGCACAGATGCCACATCCCATCCCCTAGCCCTAGCCCTGGCCCCGTCCCCGTCCCCTGGAGAAGTGAGCAAGACCAAACGTGGGGGACTGACCCAGGCCTCTTTCACCCTTGCAGGGGAAGCACTGCATCCTGGATGTGTCTGGCAACGCCATCAAGAGGTTGCAGCAAGCACAGCTTTACCCTATTGCCATTTTCATCAAGCCAAAATCCATCGAAGCGCTCATGTAAGTGAAGCCACCTGTCAGCCGCCTCCCCTCTGTGACCGTGAGGTCCTGCATCCCTGCCTCTCCAGCTTAGAAAGTGGTGTCGCTGTTGCTCCAGCATCAGCTCTTGGGTCTCATGACTTTTGGTGCGGGTGCCTCCCCTTCCCCACATGCAGCTGTGGTCGTGTGGAAAGGGCCAGGCCTGGATGACATCGTCTCCTCTTGCTGCAACCATCCCGATCTTGGGCCCTGATCCGTGTGCTCCTGAGGGCTTGGGGCCTGCAGTCAGGGAAGCCACCGCTGGGGAATGGATCTGTCAGGCAGGGGATAGATCAGGACAGGCATATTGGGCACAGGCAAGAAGCCTCCTGCATGCCTGTCAGAGACCCTGCATGGCATTGGCCAAGCAGGAGGGCTGGCTAGAGATGAGACTGGAGCTCAAGAGCTCTTGAAGTGGGGGTGGTCGCTCCAGACCACTATGTGACACCGTCTGGGGCAGGCCCAGTTCCTGCAGCTGGGTTGGGTGGCTCAGGGCAGCAGGAAGTGCAGGGCGCAGATTCGTCATCTTGCCTCCTGCCCTGATGGGGTGAACCCATGTGATGTGGGGCTGGGCTGGAGTGGGGGGCAGGCGGTTCGTTGTTTTGCCTGCTTTAAATGAAAGGGTTTGTGGCTCTTCCTTCCCTGCTGCTAGGGAGATGAACCGGAGGCAGACGTACGAGCAAGCCAACAAGGTCTTTGACAAAGCCATGAAACTGGAGCAGGAGTTTGGGGAGTATTTCACAGGTGAGAGCCCCTGGGCCAGCTCTTCCCCCTCCTGCGCCGGCAGTGCCAACTACACCCATGTGCTTTGGTGTTGTGGGAAACCATCCACCCGCATGGAAACAAAAGCAGTGAGAAGGGGAGTCTGTCACCATGCGTCACAGCTGGGCTCTCCAGAGATTTGGGATAAGGGCAATCTGCCCGGAGAGGAGGGGGCAGCCAGGCAGGGCTTTGAGTGCAGGGAGGCTGCACAGGGAAGGGCAGCAGAGAAGTGAAAGCATGTTGGTGCACAGAGGGCTTCGGCCGTCTCACCGGGCCAGGGCCAGGCCATGCCCAAAGGAGAGGGTGACTTCAGAGAGAGGCTCTGGCTGTAACTGGTGACTCGAGTGGCCGTGTCTCTGAAGAGCCTTTGTGGGCAGCGTGGCCAATATAAGCAGCCTCCTACCTCCACCCCTGGACAGGGGCAGCTGCCCATACGGCTCAGGGCTGGGAGCAGGCACCCATGAGGATTCGGGACTTGGCAGTGCTCACGGCAGTGCACAGTCTGGAAAGCTGCAGGCAGGTGCGACGGCACGGACACAGAGCTGGCCTCCTCCAAAAGAAAGGGGAGCAGTGCTGCACAGCCGTCCCCGCTGCCCCAGGCCCCCAGGCACTCTGCCAGGCAAGGGCAGGGGCCAAGCTGTGGCACAGCAGGAGCAGGAGAGCAAAGACATTGTTCCCAGGAGGTGAAGGGAACTGGGCTTGCTTTGTCCGTGGAGTGGCCGTGATCTGCCCAAGGAAGCTGAAGCACACCAGGCCTTCAGTGATGCAGCTGATTCTGTCCCTCCTGGGTGGGCAACAGAGTCTGCCTGGCCTGGAAGACCCGAGACACGGGTGGGAGCTGGGGGACTAGGGTGGGAAATAACCTGTGGGAGGCAGAAAGCAAGGAGCGCCCAAGGGGGCAAGCACTGCCAAGGCCTGTCGGGGAGGTAGCCTCATTCGCCAGGCGGCAATAGCAGGAGGCCTGGAGCGCGCGGGTCCAGCGGGCCGGGGTCTGGGGCTCTGCTGCGGGGTCAGTGCCTGGGAGCCAGGAGGAGATGGGCAGGTTCAAAGAGAAGCAGCAAAGCGGTCCAAGGGCCTGAGCAGCTCAGCTTCAGGGAGATTGAATGAGCTGAGCATGCCCAGCGAGGCCTGGAGATGGAGCAGCTCTCCAGCCAGCCGAGGCAGAGGGAAAGGGGCCGACTGGGTGATGAGAAGGGCCCAGCTGAGGACTGTCGCAGGAAGCAGTGGGAGCCCCTTGCCTGGGAGCTGGAAACCAGAGCCTGCTGTGACTAGAGCTCCAGACCCGTGACTGGAGCAGGCTGCCTGGAGACAGGGAGGAGCCTCCAGCCCTGGGAATGCTCCGGAGCCGGTTGGACAGACTGCAGGGGGCTGGGGTGGCCAAGAACGGCCCTGTTGTGAGCACTAAGCAACCTTGAGAGGGTCCCTTCCAGCCCAGCTCTCCCATGGTCCCATAGCACGTGTTCAGGACCCAGGGCCTGGCTGCGGGGGGGGGAACAGGTGACTGACCAAGTGTGCCCAGCCTGCCCCCGGCCTCTGGCAGCGGCGCCCTGATGCTGGGGAAACTCAGTGTGGCATCAGCCGGAGGCCACAGGGTCGTGGCTGGTCCTGCAGGAGCCACCCACACTGGGGCTGGCCCCTCACAGCCTGTGCAGCTCTCACCCCCTCCCCAGGCATGAAATTATCCCCCGGCTCTCACTGGGTTCCACAAAAAGAGCTCTTGACCAAAGCGAGCTGGAAAGCCAATGAGCTGGTTCCTTGGAGAGCATCAAGCCAGGGCCTGGTGCATGCGAGATCTCGCTACCTGAGCTCTGCCTGGTTCTCACCCTCCACCTCCTGAGAGCGCCTGCGTGCTGTAACCTGCCTTGGGCTGGTCCATAGCTCCAGGAGCTGCTGGTGCCCGTGCCCCGGCCCTGCCCTTCCCCTCTGCCTGTCCCACTCCAGTAGCTGGCGAAGGCCCTGAGCCGGCCTGTGGCTGGTGCGGCGTGGCACTGCCCAGCACTCACAGGCTTCTTCTTTCCTCTTCCAGCCATCGTACAGGGAGACTCTCTCGAGGAGATTTACAACAAAATCAAACAGATCATTGAGGACCAGTCTGGGCACTACATCTGGGTCCCGTCCCCTGAGAAACTTTGAAGACTTCCCCCATCTCCTTCCTTGTGAGCAGAAGGTCTCTGAAATCCCACCCCCGCCCACGCCCTCTGCCCCACGGGGGGACACAAATACTCCTCCTGCCCCTTTTTTAGATCGTCGCAAAATTGAGTTTTCTAGTCCTGTTTCTTTTTGTTGGGATGAAGCGATCGCATTCATCACGTGACTGTTCCCACCATCCCTGCATGGACCTCCCCACTGCGCCATTAGAGACGGATGAGAACCCATTCAAGAATGGTTTTTTTTTATTCTTATTACTATTATTATTAATGAAACCAAGCAGCGAGACGGGCCAAGGAGGCTGAGGACTAATGTAAAGAACGACCGAAACTGGGCTGCGGCACTGAGAGAGGAGTGGAGCTTCCCGGGCATTTCTCCATGTGCGTCTGTCACTGTCGTGCAGCCCTGACCAGCACAACACAAAGGCAACAGAAAGCATTTTATTTATCTGTATATGTAATTTATATATAATATAGAGAGAGATATTATATATATATTATATATATGTGGACTAGCAAACAGGAGGGACCTCCTAAATGGTACTATTTTATTGCTAGGATGCATCCAATTGTCCCAGGCACTGCATAAGGGAGTCCGCTCTGGTCAGGAAGAGATTGAACCGGGACCAGGTGCTCTGAATGATTCTCACATCCGGTCCGTCTTTCACAAGCCAGTGCCCAGGGCTGGAGGGCAGGGCAGAGCCGAGGATGTGGTGTGCGCAGAGGGGGCCACAGGTCTGGAACCACATGAGCATCAGTGGCTGATCTGAAACTGGGAGAGAAGACTAAGCAAGAGGCTGCGGAGCGAAAGTGTGGATGCTAGTACATATTAAATTGCACATTGTTTTACAGGCCACCTGATGATGTGTTTGCATGAGAGGTTTCCTTTTTGTTCTATTTTTTTAAGCAGATGTTAAACCAAAACCATGTTGTGTTGCTGTGTTGGCTTTTTCATGACTGAGTTTCTCATGTTAATAATGAACTGAACGGGTATAAAGTCCATTTTTTAACTTATTTTTTAAGATGGCTCCACTGTAAATAGAACATGGGCCCAAGCTATTGCAGGCCAGGAGCTCTCTGCAGCTCACATGAGATGGACTGGCCGGCTGCTCCGTGCCCCTCGGGGAACACCTGGCCCCTCGGGCAGACCCTGGCCAGGGGGCAGCAGGCAGGCAGGCTGGCCTGCTCTCCTTTGCGGGAGGGCACTTGAACCCCTGGGAGTTAGCAGCAGGCCCCAGCTGTCCCTGGGACAGATGCTCAGAGCTCCTCCAGTCTGTCCAAGGCTTCAAAGCAGCCTAAATTCTAGGAGCAACTGAAACCCTCCCTCCCTCCCTGCCTGCCACAGCCTAGATTCAGGGCTGTTTCCCCTGAAGGCAGTGGTGACCTTCATGGCACCGCCACCCTTGTAACGCAGCCATGTCCCCTCTGCACCCCTGGGACTCGGGCTGTGGCAGCTATGCAGGCATTCACCCCTCGTCCCTCTCAAAGCCTCTGCCTATGTCCTGGTTCTCCAAGTAGGATCCTGCCCTCCCTAGCCATGCTTTCTAGAACCAGACGCAGGAGCTGGACTGTGAGCAGGGAAACATGCACTGCCACGGGCGTGAAACCTGGCATCGGGAGCAAGGAACAGGTGCTGCTGAGGAAGCTCAGGCATCTGTTTGAACATGGCTCCATCAGAGGAGAATGTGCCAGTTCATCCAAGGGGAAAGCCCACAAAGCACTTGGGAACAGTCTGGACTGTCCATGTCTCGACAGTGCAAGGTCCCCTTTGGTAGGGAAACTGTAAATACTTTTCTCACAGCCACATGCCCCCAGCAGGACAAGGGCGGTCGCCCACCACAGCGTTGGCAGGTGCGTTCCTCTTCCCCAGGTAGGGGCAGGTGGCGCCAGTTCCTTGCCTAGCTAGTAGGGTTGGCCAGGGGTGGCTTCCACGTAGCACCAAGAGGACACTGTCCACCTGCGCCGGCGCCAGCTGCATCACTCGCTGTCGGGCCTCTGCAGGGTGCAGGCACACTGCAGTGAGCGAGAAGCACCCGCTTGTGTGGCAGTCACCTGTGTTGCGAGAGGAGTTCAGATGGACTTTAGCCGCCAGCTGAAACTGGAAGCACAGCTGTGCAGACCGCACCAGCAGTGTCATGGTGGCAGAGGCAAAGCAGCGGTGCCTGCTGTCAAGCTGGAGTCTCCCCATGGAGCAAGCCTGGGCAGGGGCCTGGCGTTCGTTCTTCCTGGGCTCTGCTCCAGTGGCCCCACACTGGATGCTGCCAGCCTCACACCAGAGACAGGGAAGCGGTGAAGCAGCAGATGCTCTCCAGGGCTAGTTTCACAGGTCCAGCTCCTTTTCTTTTTCTGATAGCCTGTGTCCCTCTCCTCTAGTCCCATGGACAGACGATCGATGTGCTCCATGGCATAGCTGAAAGTATCCGATCAATCATGACAACACTAGTTGGTTGCCAGTGTTTCTTCCAAGGAGACGTATATTTTTAATAAACAGAGTTACAAAGATGTCCGTCTCAGAGCCCTTCTTGCAGAAATCACACAGCATACCAGCTCCTGTCCTGCCCTGGGCTCCTCCTAGCAACTGAAGGGTTAAAATCAGGTGCCGTAGTGGGAGGTGGGCACTGAAGACCACCCCTTGCACCTCTGGGTGTCTGGTGCCCCCATAACCAGGCCCTGGCACTCCCTGGGTTAGTGGTTGCAGGCCTTGCAAACATGGGGGTGGTTAGGGATCGTATGGAGCAGCTACAGTGGCCCAGTGAGCTTGCCATGGTGAGCCGCAGTGGCCTGCAGGCTGGGTGACCAGGAGATGCAACTGTCCTATGCCTGGGGGAGGGATTGAGGACTCCAGTGGTGGATGCTGTCAGCCTGGCAGGAAAGAGCCTGGGTCTTTGCCTAACAGGAATGTGAGGCTGGGGCAGGGGCAGGGGCAGGTGGGGCTTACATGCTTGAATACCTTGTTTGTACAGTATGAGGGGGACAGGGAATTGCAGCAAAAGTTTTCTTTTGCTTAGAGGTGGGGGGTGCAACATTTCCCTCCTGTGACACGTAGGGCCCTGCCCAATGCTGCAAGGGTTTGCATCTGTTACCTTCTGTAATGCAGGGCTGCTTGGTCCTCCAAGCATTCTCCAAGTGTGCCATGCTGCATTGCCCTTCACCCCCACTGCTGGGACTGGCCACTCTGCTATGGAGCCAGAACTCTACTATTCCTCCACCCTCTGGTTGGCACCTCATATCAACGCACCCTTGGACCTGGGGTGACAGCGGACAAGAAGCTGGATAGGAGCCAGCAGTGTGCCCGTGTTGCCCATCGGTAGGAGCGCTGCCAGATCAAGGGCAGTGATTCTTCCCCTCTATCCAGCACTGGGGAGGCCACATCTGGAGTCCTGTGTCCAGCTGTGGGCCCCACTACAGAAAGGATGTGGACACATTGGAGAGAGTCCAGCGGAGGGCAGTGAAAATGGTTGTGGGGCTGGGGGACAGGACTGGTGAGGAGAGGTTGAGGGAACTGGGCTGATTGAATTTGGAGAAGAGAAGACCGAGGGGGATCGAATAGCAGCCTTCACCTCCCTGCAGGGGGGCTGCAAAGAGGATGGAGCTGGACTGGTCTCAGTGAGAGCAGATGGCAGAACAAGGAGCAATGGTCTCCAGGTGCAGCAATGGAAGTTGAGATTGGATATCAGGAAAACCTCTCTCACGAGTAGGGTAGTAAAACACTGGAATGGGTTACCTAAATTGGTGGTGGTGTCTCCATCCTTGGAGATTTTGAAGACCTGGGTAGACAAAGCCTGGCTGGGATGATGTAGTTGGGGCTGGTCCTGGTGTGAGCAGGGGGCTGGATAGATGTGACCTCCTGAGCTCCCTTCCCACCCTCACTGTCTATGACTCTGATTCTGTATGTCCAATAGAAACATCTAACAGCCAGCTGCACCCTTGCTTCCCCCACACCCCACCCACAATGCAGCCCGCAGCCCCTCACCTTCCCTCCAGAAAGCCTGCTCCCCGTTTTTCCTTTTTGTTGGCATTTTTTTATATTGGTGCGCTCCCTTGCACTGCTTGGGCAAGAAAAGCAGCCGTGCCAACCACCATCCATGCTCTCACTCCTGCCCTGACTGCAGGCCAGGATCATCTCAAGAAAGCACAGCTCCAAGCACTCTGCTCCCTGCCTGCCACCCCCTCCCCCTCCAGTCAGTCTGGCACACCACAGTCCTCAGGCACTTGCAGGCTGTTAAAGCTGCTTGAACACAGGCTGCAGAAAGCAGAAAAGTGACCATGGCTCAGCCACAGCTCCAGTGCTTAGGTGCACATAATAGCATAGCTGGGTTGGGGGAATCACTGTAAATGCAGAGGCGACTGAGACTCGGGCAGATGCTGTCTGCCCATTTAACCCACTGGCTGCACAGCACGGAAATCCAGACTTTCATGTGCCAAGACATGTTTGTAAACGCTGTCCTAGAAGGCAGGCACATGTGAACGACATGGCAAAGGGCTGCAACTGCACCTGGGCTGGCCTGTGCAATGCAGAACAACATTTAGGGCACTAAGATGACAGCAGCACACTGTGGAAGTGGGTTGCAAAGAGCCCAAAGACAGCTCCAAACCTGCATCATGCTTTTCTTAGCCTATGCACAAACCACCAGGTCACAGGTTAGGCACCCTCTTAAAGCCAGCCGAGGGACCTGTGTGGGGCCAGGGAGAGAGCCACATGGCTTGTCTCCTGAGTGCTGTGCTCTAAAGAAACAGGTCCTGCGTTCCAGTCCTGCCACTTCCTAGTGGCAGAGATGAAAGACAGAAGAGCCCTGCCACTAATCCTGTCCTGCTACTGCTCCCCTCTCTGCAGGGTGTGCACAGGGTCACTTGGTTTTTGCCTCGGGACAAAGCCAAGTCCAGCACTGTGCACAAGCACCGGGCGCTGCAGCTACAAAGCTCTGTCATCACTGCTGAGGCACCAGCCTGTTTCCAGCAACTCTCAGCAGCCGGCTGCCACCTGTTCAACTGCTACATTCAGTTGCAGGCTGAATCTCCCCACTTGTGTTTCTATCTAGACCTGTCTGGGCTTCAGTGCTGCAAGCAGTGACTACTTCAGCACATTACATTCAGTGCCCCCACAGCAACACTCGCTGGCACTTCAGCTGCTTGAATGCAAGAGAAGGAGCACCTGTTCTCTCCTGGAATGAAGTGATTGATCATGGCTATCTTGGCAGAGGGCCAGCATTCCTCACCGCACTGAAATGGACTGAAAAACTAAACAATCCAGCAAGCATTTATACAGAGACAACGGCAGCAGCCAGTGGACATGTATGGTCTTAAAACTCTTTTATTGCTCAGTGTCACCTCCTATGGAAATCAGATGTTTGAACTACCCCTCTTCCCTAAAACAGCAACCCCACCTCATAAGGAATGCATGCATCTACTTCCTCTTACTCAGCAGCTCTAAAAGGGTGCATGAGTGATGGAGAAAAAACATTGCATTTCTCCAGCAGACATGCCCCAAAACCACACACAACTTAGAAACAGCCAGTGGAAAGGCCTCGATCCTGTGCCCAGAACTCACGTGCCATCACAGAGCTGGCAGCCACCACCCAGGAGACTCTTCCGATGATGCTGGTGCCCTCATCTGCCAGGGCTGTGGTGGGCATCATTCTTCATTTGGAAGAAACCCCTTCGCTCTGTCCAACTTATCCAGCACCTCGCTGTAGAGACCGATCATCTGGAGGACACAACCATCAACAGACCTCTGAGCACAGAAGGAAGCAAGAAACTCAGGCACTCAATTAGGAAAGAAGAGTCATGCGAGGAGCAGGCAAACTACAGCCTGTTCCAGATTGGAAATCTATGCTGCTCTATGCAGTCTGTGACAATTAAAGCCTGCTGCTTTGGAGACAGTCACTCTGATGCTGCACCCACTCGTGTCAGTGCATCTGTGCAGAGACAAGGTGCTTCCTTCCCCATAGCTCACAGGTGCATCCGCTCTGGAGGGCCTCACTGGTGTAACTCCCAGTCCCTAAATCAACCAGCCCCTGCCTGAAGCCGCTGTGGGGCTGCACATAATGTCTGACTGTATGTACCAACTAGGACAGATCCTGCTGCAGCAGGGACAGGCAGCTCCGTGGGTGTCAGGCTCAAGCAGGAGCATGGCAGCCCAGAAAAGGTTGGTCACATGTGAAGGGCAAAGAACAGCCATGTTCCTCTGTGCAGAGATGCCGGCATGGCTGAAGCAGGCCTGGTCTCTGCCTGGCAGCTGTAGTGGTTTCACTAGGTGTGGGTTGTTTGAAATTATCTTGGTCATGTCTGTCACTTGTTGTTAGCAGCCAGATTTAAGCCAGTGTACGAGTGCCTGCACCAGCAGTGCTCACACTGTCCTTCCTGAGCCACAATTATCAAAGGGTTGGGGGTTTCTGAGAGCCTTGGGCATGTCCTTCCTGCATCATGAAAATGCAGCACAGCTCTGCACTGTGGCTTTTCCTCTTGAACGGGACCGTGTTTGCCATGATCCACAGAGGCTGCACAGGCTGCAGCAGTGGTGCTTGGTTATCACTGAGTGCTTGCTCATGCAGCTCCTGAGGCAGTCAGGACTGAGCATCCCTTGACTAGTCACAATGGCTTAATTAAAGCAATGTGACATTGCACCTTAAGCAAAACATGCCAATTCTGTGTTTCAAAGAGCCCTATGCTTTCCTCTTAACTGTTCAGTGTCTGCACTCAGTGCAGAACAGCCCCCCCACCCATCCCTTTCAGGTAGAGGTACGGTGCCTCTCATGAGTGTGAGGGTAGGAAGCGAGCAGTATTTCCCACAGTTGCCTGCTATGGCTAGAAAGTGCTCATTAGCAGGTTGAGATGCTCAGATAGGTGATGGGCAATTTTCTTAGAACTGGAGAGGCTTTGGGAAGCAGGCTCCCAGTCTCAGCAGGCAGGCAGTGGTTGGGGGAAAGGGCCGTTGTGTCAAGTTCAAACTCTGTCTTTCAGACTCCATAGGGACCTGTGTTGTGGGACCAGAAGGGACACTGCTATCCTGTAGCACATGGCCAGAGAAGGTAATTTTCATGCATCTTCTTTGCCCAAACTCCCTCCCCAGATCAGTTTCTGGCCTGCCAGAGAAGTGCAAAACTCCTCATGCTGAGGACAACTCTTCAGCATGGCCACACAAACCACCTGTGCCAGAGCAGAGGGCAGCTGTTCTCATGGATGTGGTGGTGCGCCTGCAGAGCATCACCTGAGCAGGCAGCCACAGCGCAGCCTCCACGGCATGACCAATGTGGGACCCCGAGGCCTCAGACAAGAGGTGTGCAGAAACCAATGCTTCTTCAGAGACAGCCAAGCCCAACACGATCGCTGAGTGGCCGTCTGCACAGGATGACCAGGACTTCCAGCTCTTCTTTCTGCCTAAACCCCCCATCCATCACTGCTCCACCTCCCCTTGTGTTTGAGATCTGGGGCAGCGGCTCTGAATCATACTGCCAGGCTTACATCCATAAAACCCACGCTGTTAAGCAGCGAGACCCAGACCT